TCAAATAATATAATTCTTAGATTATTTTAAAAAAAATAAGACTAATGATCTCATTGTATCATTTTATTATGATTGTTATTATTCCTAATTAGTTGTTTTGTCATTGTTATGTTAATTTATTACTTTAATGAAATTTTGAGAGTTAGTACAAAACTTGATGAAGGTACTTTCATTGGATTTTTTTTTTTTTCATATGATATATTGGTATACATGACAAAAATAAAATTTATATTCCAATATGTATATAAATCAACTATTTTTTAATTTAATTGTAAATGCAAACTCATTGATATGCATTTATGTAAGTTTTTGAGTAACTATTTCGATCTCATTATTGCCATTAGTCTAGTTTATTTTCACTCATTTGAGATATCTGCTTGTATTAAACTTATTTTTGGACTGATTTTACTAATATTTACATAGTGTAGTTAGGTAGCCTGCTCATCGTTGTAGCATTTATTGTTATGGTTTATTAAACTTGTCCTATTAGTTTTTAATATACGTTAAATGAAGTTTTTATTTCTGAAGTATAAAAAAATCAAGATTTAAATGATTATCATCTATTTTAGTTCTAGAGACGCCAGTATCGGCAACTAAGGACCACGCGAATATTATTGGTTAGGCTTCTTTGGGAGTCTTGATTTTCTTTCTTCGGACCACTTTGTACCCCCCCATTTTTCTCTTCCAATATTGGTGAGATTTTTCAGTGTTTTCCTATATGTGTCTCTATCTAGACAGTCAGCATCTGAAATTTGGAGTTTTTTTAATTCTGTTATTTGCTTCATGTATCCTCCCATGCTTTTGTAGCTAAAATTTTTGTTAAAGATCTTTTTGTTCAATCTTTCCTCCTTCATCCTTTTCAAGGTTCAATTGGAACATGTTAAACAGTAAATCTTATATAAAGAATATTCTCTATCTTGATTTAATCAAATCAATCTATGGTCAATAAGTTCTAATATATTACTTATTTTGTTTTTATTGGTCTGGCTATCTCTGTTAATATGAATGATGGCATGACTATTCAATAATTGGGATCCCCAAGGATTTTTCCCCAAAGTGTTAGTTATAGGACATGATCCGCTCATTAAGATAATTGAGCAACAAATGAAACTAGTGGTATGTAACATACCAAAAGCAAATTATTATCATGTATGTTCTAGTTGTTGAGGCCTGCTGAAACCTGTGTGTCTACTAACATTACAGTGGCATTTAGCAGGCTTCATATCATGTACAGATCCTTCTGTTATTATGTTATATCCTTTTTCAATTTGTTTCTCAAGCTATAGCCTTTTAAATTAAATTCCTGTTCTCATTCTTATTATTTATTAGTTTATACAGTTTTTTTATAAGATTCAGTTTATTGAATAAATTATTATGTATAGTAGCTTTTAAATTAGATATGTTTACCCGAGTACACAGTACTCTTAACTGCTCATATGTCCTTTAATTTGCTTACTGATACTCGTAACTGTTGCTAATCAAACTGGCTGTGATGTACATATTGTTATTTGGATGTGTTGAATATTTTTTTAAGTTAATATAATTTTTCCTTTTTTTTTTTTTTAATATTTATTTTTAATAATATAGATATTTTCAAAATGACCTCAATCATCTTTATAGCTTATTGATTTATTTTTTCGATCATATGAGTCTTTACATTATAGTTTACCATTAGAATTCTAAGGAGTATTTTATTGGTTTATTAGGTTCAGTAATCATTCTATTCCATTCAGACTTCTGATTATTGTTCTTAACATTTTTATAAGAAACTTTCTTCTGCACATGCTCAGAAGAAATATAATATAGATACTTCTTACGTGACCGAATCAGCAACCTATTTTTTTTTTTATATAAGCTTCTTATCCATTATATTTCATGATTCCTGGGTGAAGGGATAAGGATCAGATTTTTCTATCCTGTGATATTTTATCAGGTTATAACAGATTATTATATGCTGTGTTATCACAAACCCTACACACTAACCTCAATGCTATTGCTATTGATCCTCAGTATTACCATAACATCCATGTTTATTACGATAATCTCTGTAAATAACATCATTCATATAAATCATTATTGTTTCATAGTTGGCATTTTAAAAACATCAATTGTTTTCAGAAATTCTTTCGAAGTTTTTTTTAAATTTTAATTCACTTTACCATCTTTATTGGAGATTAATTGTAAATTAGTAAGACATTAATTTAAATTTAAAATGCTCAATTTAAGGTTTTAAAAATTGTTCTATAAAGTTAGCTTTTCTTGCAGTTTAGCATTCTCTTTTCTTGACGTGCAATTTGTTTTGATTCTGCTATAAATTTTTTTTGGATTATTAAATATTTCAAAACAGGAATGATAGTGGATTTCATTGTCCTGAGTAGTACTCCGGAATTGATGTTCATGAATGTTCCATATTCCATCCTGCTTCCTTATTTTGGAAACATTTGCATTGATTTTAGTTTCTGTTCTTTTTAAAATGATTTTAGAACTTCAATGTATTTATCCAGTGATATTATGAGGTATGGGAAAGTTCCTAAACACTGTGCTGAGCTCATTTATTGGTGGCATAATATCCATCTCTGAACTTTGAGCACAGTGCTTTCTTTAGGAAGTTATCCTGTGTAACGATGCGATCATTTTTGTCTTAATTTATTGTAACATTTTTTTATTACAGACTTTGTTAAACATTATTTTGATCAATATTCTTCTTTGATGCCTGTTCAGACTAAATGTAAGACTGAATTTCTGGATCAAAATTGATTGCCATATGTTACTTTTATTATGTTCTAATAGGTAAAAAGTGTAAACTTCTATTCATGGAGATATAAATTGTATTAATCATTAAAACTCTTATGGATTAGATCTTTTTATTTAAGTGTAATGCTTAAAATTTTGTTATTTATTTATATTGATTGGCATTTTTGAAATTTGAGCTTTCTAATTTTATTTTTTCGCTGTAAGTAGTGCCTTCTTGCAGTATTTGGGAAATCTATATTTGTGAAAAGATTATGCTATTTTTATTTTTTTTTATTTATTTTTTTATACTATATATACTTATTTCTGATCATTATTTTAATAATAAAATAAATATTTTATTAATAAACTCTTTTTGATTATGAACTGTTTACAATTTTTCTTATCCTTATCCACTCCGTTAATTTGTGCTGGTTTATAGATCAGCTTCTTTCTTAAGACTTATGCTATAAGGACATATTTCCATTTATTGAATTAATCGTGCATTAAAACGTAAGGATGTAGAAAAGTTTTGGTAATTGAGAGATGATTTAAATTGCTAAATTAGTGTATAGATTTGGAATTAAGTTCTTAAATAACCCGTCAGAAGAGATAGGTGTAGATAGAATGCCTTACCTGCATGACTGCACAGGCATCAATGCTGTCTACACCCATCAAAACTTAAATATTTAAATGATTGACTTAAGAAAACATCAGAGGTTTGATCTGCCTCTAAAGGTATGTAAAAAAAAAAAAAAACAATCTGGAAACTAGAGCAAGTGTGGACAGTTTGATACATAGTCCGTATGTTACATTGACATTTATCATATACAATAATCAAGCCTAAAAAAACTGTTAGGGAAATTTGATTATTAAAATATGTTTCTTCTATACAAACTCTTTACTGATATATTAAGCATATCATAAATGTTAACATATGATATAGCGAATGTTAATCACCCTAGCATGGTATAGTCAATGCTGTTTTTATTTGAATTTAGTTTTAGAACTTTATATCAACTTATTAATAATCGGTGCTTATCACTTTTATGTCATTTAGTTCAATAGAACTCATGATCTATTAATTAATTAATTTATTAATTTTGAAACCTGTGTTCTTTTCTGAGTTCTAACTCTATTCCCTTAGTTTTAAAAAACTTTCCTTTTTTATTTTTTTGCCTAGACAGTTTATTTAGCAATTGAGACTGACTTTCATTGGATCACTTTTTAACAATTTATATTTATTATACTTTTACGTGTTTTTCATGAAGTTCTCTGAAATTTAAAATTTTTGACGGAAGCCCTGTTGGCTAGAGAACAATGAATAATACTTAGTTTACGATTTAAGGCTTTTACAACTGTGTTTATCATGGTTTCTAAAGGTTTTGTTTTGCTTATACCTTTTTAATATCATTCAAGGTATGTAAGAGGTCTATATCATACAAAAAGTATTTCTAGACTTTTTTTGTTTTTCTTGTCTCCCCTTCCTTGCCTTTTAGGCTACACGGAGTTTTTCTTGGGCCAGGGGAGAGGGTGATGGAATTATGTCCAGTTAAAAAGTACCACCATTCACTGGGATTTGAACTATTGATTATTTCAAAATTTCGGTTATCAGATTGCCGGGCAACGCAAGGCCTGTGCACACGCGTAAGCCTGCTCGTCCACCCCGCCTCTGGTATTTCTAGACCTTTTGTTTTGTATCTTAAGGAACTTTCTTATTATTCAGGAAGTTCATGTTAACAACATTGAATCTACTTCCAGCAGATTTCACCCCATCTTAACTCTAATTATCAAGGGTTCTTTTCTCTCCCAAATGGGCTTCCAGATATCAAAAGAACCTATTCAAATCACTGCCTAATTATTATTATTATTAACTATTTCTTCTCTGTTATAGTTGAATTTTATCAACTAATATTGATTTAAATATGAGACTGATAAAAGTGTTGAATGACTAAATAATCATGACAATATATTTAAGTTGAAATAATATATTCCTACAAAATTTATTATTTCACTTTTTATAAAACGTCTTGCTACTCTCATGATACTTAATTTTGTCGTCGATAGGTTGATAAATATATATGATTAAAATTATATATTTTTATAATTCATGTTTTATTTACAAATTGAATCAAAAAATTTAATGGAGCACAGATTATATATTATTCTTGGATTAATTGTTTTTATTTTCGTAATAAATTAAATTCTAAATGTGTATTTGGATATACTCAGTATCACTTGAAATTCTTAACGCTGGATTTATTTTTCAGATTATGGAACTTCATGAGGCTTGCCAGATACATCAAGGTTTGCTTCATGAGAGAAACAATTCTCTTCATGATATGAAAGCTATTGTTAAGACTTGGAGGAATCGGTTACCTATCATAGCCGATGATCTAAGTCACTGGAGTGATGTATTTACTTGGAGGCAGCATCATTATCAATTCATTACATCACATTATGATTCACAGCACGATCAAGGAACAACACATAGCACATTTGGAGTTCATGCTTCTGCACAAGTGAGAATCTCTATTTTTTTTATATTGCTGCATAAAAAATGTTTTTATTTATTTTTCCTTCCTCCTGGTCTATACCTACATTTGATAATAATGATAAATTGAAATATATAAAGAGGGCTCGATGGCTCGATGGTTTATGGACTTCTCCAGAGTTTTATAAGTTAAATTCATTAGAAAAATTATTCCAATGCTGAATAGGTACTTATATGAATTCCCAATTTTTATTCATTGAAGATGAGATTATAACAATAAAATATTTTGTTATTTTAATGGTATTAATGATTTGTTAGCTTTAAGCTTTAGATCGGTTAAAAACGCACCTCAGAAATTTTATAATAGCCCAACATTGTCAGAAAATAGTTTCTAATCAAGTAAGTGAAAGTTGTGTGTTGGGAGCACCAGATTTTATTCTTTTATATCCTTACCATAAAGGATTTTCTAATTAGATTTATCTTTTCTTGAAATTTAAATACCTTTTTATATAAATATTTACAGATATCAGTACATGTGTATTTTTTTTTTCAGGCTATTATACATTTTGGAAAGATCGGAAGAAAACATAATTTAACTGGAGTCTGTTTAGATTCTCTATCCCGTATATACACCATACCTTTTGTACCAATAGTTGATTGTTTTCAAAAAATACGACAGCAAGTAAAGTGCTATGTCCAAATGGCTCAGTTGACTGGGAATAAAGAACTCCAGGAAGGCTTAGAGGTAGTGGAATCGACTAATCTTAAATACTTCTCAAAAGAAATGACTTCAGAATTTTATGCTCTTAAAGGCATGCTTTTAGCACAGATTGGTAAGAATAATTTTTTTTAGACTTTAATTTTAATTATTTAATTTTTTTAATTATTCAACTTTATCTAATTATTATTAGGTCGCCATGATGATGCCAATAAGGCATTTTCTGCAGCTGTACAATTCCATGATACACTCGTCAAAGCCTGGGCTTTATGGGGCGATTTCATTGAGTCTCAGTTTACCAAATCAAGCTCTCCAGAAATTAGTGCTGGAATAAATGCAATCACATGCTTTTTGCATGCTTGCCGTCATCAGAACGAGTCAAAATCTAGGAAGTATCTTGCTAAGGTAAATAGCTGTTTTAAATTTTAATATTAGTATTCATTAAGTGTGTTGCTTGGCAGCTATTATTTCAATTTCTTTATCAAAAACCTCTAATGATATTTAATTTTATTTGAATTCATTTTATTTATTTATGTTACTTGATTTAACCTTACGGAATTCTTGTGAGATAGTATAGTCCTACTTTTCAATTCTTATATAAATGATCTTCCTAGTTCAATAAACCATTGCTCATACCATATATATGCTGATGACTCCCAAATTTATTTATCCTTTCCGCCCCTGACTTGTTAGCAGCGTTTACTAAGATTCAAAAAGACCTAGATAGGATCAGTCCCTGGGCAAGCTTGAATAAATTAAAGCTAAACGCAACAACTTAGACCGTTTTTATAGGTTCCAACTCCCTCCTTAGATCCTTAACCACCGTTCCTTCTTTAATTATCAATGACCAACCCGTCACCTTCAGCTTGTCTGTAAAAACCATAGGCATTATTATTGATGAAAACCTCTTCTGGAAACCTCATATTGCCCAAATGTTCAGGTCAATTGTTATACTTGAACTATTTCATCATTCCCATCATCATCTTCCTCAACCTATCTGCTAGCTCCTCGCTTCCTCATTGATTTTTCTCCACTTTGACTACGGTTATGTGGTATATAGTAGTCTCCCAATTGTGCTCAAGGATCGACTGAAGAAAGTTTTGAATTGTTTATTAAGATTTGTTTTTTGTACTTCGAGACTGCCCCATGCTGTATAGTAAATTAAAGTGGCTTTTCCTCTCCTTCTGCCAGCAATATTTCCTAATAAATTTCTTGTATCAAACGATCAACTCCCAGCACCCTTCCTATATCTACCATCTCCTGCCCAAACCCTCAGTCCACTCACAGAAAACAGGATCCCGTGTCTCTGACCTCTATATTCCCTACCATAGAACTAATACCTATAATCGTTTCTTTTTAGCTCTCTCTGTTACCTTCTGGAATTCCTTACGATGTAACATCTGTCATGGCCTCTTCTCTATCATCGGAGTGAAAATATCTTCTGCTTTCATTTCTCTCGTTTAGCTCTTCCGTAAGCTCTATCTTCCTTCAATACCATGCTCTCTTTTTATTTCCACACAAATTTGTGGCTCTCTTCATGCTAGTGTGATACTTTTCTCTATTCCCTCTTGTGTCCCCTTGTAACATTACATACCTATCAGCGTTTTTTTGTTCAATGGCTTGGGCACACTCCTCATCAAACCATTCACTATTCCTTTGATGCCAATTTTCTCCTAGGACTAAATCCGCCATCTCTTCCATTATATTCTTTAAATTATTCCATTCTTTTTCAGTTTCACTTTTCTTTTCGCAGTTCTGCAGCCTATACTTAAGAGTTTCTTCAAATAGGACCTGTGGCTCATCGACTTTCAACCTCTCGGTGTTCCATTGCTTCCTTTGTACTCTATTACCTTTTTGACTATTTGCCAATCTGTGTCTGAAAAGGGCTTTCAGGAGATAATGATCGGAATCACGATTTGGTCCTCTGCAATGATACTTAAGGCATGTCTGGAAGATTTGGATGGAAGGCATGGTCAATTTGATTAACTTTGCCCCCTGGCATTTTCCAAGTTTCCAGATGAATTTGTTTGTGTTGAAAACTCATGCTTTTAATTTTTAGATTATTTGCAGAGCCAAGCGCTGACCGTTGTCATTGTATTCATTGTGCGGTGAGTAATTATCAGTAACATACATGAGGACTGCATTATGCTTTGGAAGGTGCTCACAGATTTCGCCTAAAAGATTTCCTATTCTTCATCACTTTTATATTCCATGGGCGCGTGAACCGAGATTGAAGATACATTTCTGAATTTCCCTTTGTTTCTGATTCTACAAATTCTATCACTAATGTTTTCAAAGCTCAGCAGTGAATTTATGGTTGTTTTATTAATTAAAAATCCTGTACCCTATGGTCTCTATAGACCTCTTCTGTTTTCTGCACTGCTATAATTGAGCGTATAATCGTTTTTATTAATATGCCCTTTTCCCGACCATCTTATTTCTTGGAGCCCAGTTATATCGATTTGATACTTTAAAATCTCATTAGCAATCTCCTGCATCTTTCTTGGCTGCAACATAGTTCTAACATTTCATGTAGCCATGGTCATATCCTTGTGTTTTGTCCTTTTCGTGCCATGATCAATACCTTTTTTTCTGTCCAGCCTTTCATTTATTGTGAGTTTCGGAACCTAAAGCTTTTTACAAGATGGGAGAGTTGGCCCCACAGTAAACCTATCCAGGAGGGCCGCTGACTTTGATTTTGGGGTGTCCTCCCCTAGGGTGCTGCCTTCACTACAGCTCAAAGAGTTCACCCTACCCTCCACAGTAGGCAATTTAACTATGCCTCAGCAGGCTGTCATTGACTATACATTGAGTTCATCTGCTACCACTTCTTGGGTGCAAGTCTTACTGCCTGCTTGCACCATCCTGGTTAGACCAGGACCTCCATCTCTCGTTAGTTCACTGACCAGGACCTCTGAAGAGATTGGATACCAACCACCTCTGTCTTGGTTACTCAGTTTAACAGGGTCTACTGCTTGAAGGTGAGAGTGGAGTTGAGGGGAAGGGGCTTTGAGTGACGCATTCACCCCCTTAGACCTCACTTTGTCTTATCTATTATGACTTAATATTTTAAGGTTTGCTTAAGAGTAATAATAAATGAAACATTTATTTATTAGTTCATAATTATGATCTTTTGATTTTTAGGTCCTATGGCTGCTAACTTATGATGATGCTAAATTTTCATTGACCGAAGCAGTAGAAAAATATGTAGTAGGTGTGCCACCAGTTCAGTGGCTTCCATGGATTCCTCAGTTACTTACTGGATTGATGAGGAGTGAAGGAAAATTTCTGTTAAATCTTTTAAGTCAGGTATTAATGAAGTCTATATTCCTAGATTTAATTCATATAGAATGTTCACACTTCTAAACAAGTTTTAATATTTTTTAAAGGTCGGTCGCATGTTCCCACAAGCTGTATATTTTCCTATTCGAACACTTTACTTAACATTGAAAATTGAACAGATGGAACGTTATAAAAGTGCAGAATTAGCTGGAAAACAGGTATAACATTCACATATTTGTACTGTCAAGTCTTATTTTATTATTGAGTGTATATTGCAATTGTAAAACCAACAAACTACTAATTGAACCTAGAACAAAACATTATCAATTCTAAAAAAGAGATTTATTAGTTCATATTTTACAACTAACATTTTTTAATGTATTGTTATCGAAAATGAATCTTTCTTTTCAGTTCATCCAACTTCATTTGTTGGTTAGTATTAAATAATTAATTAAATAACGAATACTTAATAGTTGGCCTAATTGATAATTAGGAAAAAGTGGTATGGAGGATAGTGAAAGAAACCTTTAATAGTAACAACTATTTATTAAAAGCAATTTCAACCATGAGCATAAATAATACCCACGCAAGCAAAGTCATTGGGGGGCAAGAACCAAATATTAAAAATTTGTACAAATCTCTTTAAAAAATCATATAAAATTCTGAACTTCTTTTTCCTGTTTTAAATTAATTTTATTCTGTAATTATTATTCATGTAAATGAAATGTAAGGTATATAAATCAGTCAATCACTTTTTTTGATTAGCACATTTTGTTATTAACTATAATATTTTTAAGTATAAGTATAGTATAAAGTATTTTTCTTAATGCTTTCTTTGTTGTAACAAATCGATTATTAATTATAATAATTTTATTTTATCATTATTTCTTGCAGAACAACCAATCGAAACCTGAACAAATGCAAGGTAAGATATATTTTCTTAAAATCTATATTTCTACTCACACTGTCTATTTGCACATATATTAAAATCATGCTAATATTGACTTCCATTGCCTGGAAGTATATATCCAAAATATCATTATGGAGATATCCTAATTTGGTATTATTCTGTTATATTTACAACTAAAAGCTTTTTGTCTCCATTCTTTCTCCATGTTATTTTGTGGACTGGCCCTTATCATTTTCTACCTGTTCCACTGTCATTGGATTTGAGAAATTTATATTAACTTCTCTCAAAGATAATAATAAAAAGATCAAAAACTCAAAAAAACTATTCCCTTTCATTAAAAAAAAAAAAAAAAATACTAAAAACAGAACAAATAAATGTTCTCATATAATTGGAAGATTCCAAAAATAAAACCATATCTCTAAAATAACAGTAACAGACCAGTCGACAATTATTCAAGGTCACTGCTTGAAAAGGAGTCTCAAAACATACTTATGTGATAGGTATTCATATTGCACCAGAATAAAGAAGACAAAACTCTAAAAATGCTAAAAAGGATAAATGTGAAGCAAAAAAAAAGTAAAGAAAACAATAACGATGCACTGAAAAACATGAATAATTAACATTATTCAAATATCATATGGTTTATTGTTTACTAAAAATTTAGCAGTGAATTTTCACTTATTTTTTTTAGTAACAGACTGTTAAATTCGAAATATTGAGTGCTAGAAGGCAAAGAATGTAATGTTGTTTATAGTGATTTTATTAATAATGGAGAATGTTCCAAGATATTTCAGAAAATAAATTAGAGATGAGTCAATTTTAGCTTATAACTTATGAATGTTGTAAAAATTCCAAAAAAATTAATCGGGTAGTGAAGATGAACAATGGTTTGAAACATTGACCAATTTAGTTAGAGAAAAAATAAGTTTTTAAATCTTAGAAAACAAATTAATAAATTTTGATAGGGTGGGCTGGCTGAGCAGGCTGAATCGTATACAAAACATGCATTGTCTGGCTACCAACCACATGATAAACCTGTTAGAAGATTATTTATTTTATTTTAAACTCTGCCGTGCCTTGTAGGCAATACGGGTGTCTGCAACAGTAAGATGTTAGGCAAGTCAGCTTAAAATCTCACTGCTGCAAGTAAACCTTGATCTTCTGCTCTTTCTTGGTTTTCTTGAGTGATTTTCCTATACTTTTCATACCAGTGGTCTAGTAGCTCCTCCTCTTCTTAGATTTAAATCTGAAGATAAAAAATAATAACGAGTTTGTGTCCTAGCACCAGGGAGCCTTTTAACTATTCATCCTCCATCCTCTCCCCTGGTCTGTGAAAATCCCTGTATAACCTAAAAGGCGAGGAAGGTATGGAAAAATAAAATAAATGTAAAAAAGTTTTTAATTTTATTGTGATCATATCAACCTAAGCTTTAAATTTGGGATTAGTAGACTTGATTATTCTGTGTTTGGTTCATAATAATGAACAATGCATTATCATTTAATTTTATTCTTATCATTTTACTCTTAACAGATTAAAAAACAATTATTAAATCAGTAAATTTGATTCGGATGGTTCAAATCTAAATTATTCTAATTAAATAGTGATTTTTAAAAAAATATTTGAATACTTTTATTATTGTTTAGGAAGCTCTACCGAGAGCACTGGCCAGCAGCTGCGTGCTACCTCATCCATGTGGAGGTGCTCAAGAATCATGCAAATGCAACGTGACATTCATCCTACAGTAATCTCTTCATTGGAGGGATTTGTTGATCAGGTAAAATATTTGATGTCAGATTTAGAAAATAGTTCTTATACTTATAAACAGAGGTAGATTTCAATTCAGGAAAATATCCTACTAAAATATGCATAAAATATAACACCATCACCAAAAAATAATTTCTGTTGCTGCATTTAAACAAAAACTTAAGGAGTGGATTGTCATCACTTCAAGCAATTATTCCTCAGTGCATAATTTCAACTGTAAAGAAACATTGGGCTCAGTTATTGTGTGAGGGTTATTGCATGTGAAACATTGCCAATAGGCTAGACTAGTTTTTATTAATTGTGCGAATAATTAACGAAGAAGTTAATACAAATCTTTTTAAGTACAGTAGATTCCCGCTTATCCATTCTCATCAGGACCAAGACATCACCGTTTAAGCGGGAGAGCCGAATAAATTTATTCTATATTTTGGAAAAATCTTGACAGTTTCATCTTTCAATGAAACAACAACTCGTTTTCTTTTTTCACTCATTTTGTCACATTAGTTAATTGAACAAAGGGTGTAACACAACTAAAAAGAAAAACTTAGTACACAAATAAAAACCTCGACTATAATCTTTCCGAGAAAATATGTCTTAATTCGTTAATATATGTAGTTACAGTATTGAACAGTACTACCTAGGTAATTGCGCAGTAATTCTTCTTCATTTTTTTTTGCATTTTTCTATGAAATAAATGAAGGATAAGGATTTTGTTTCAAGAATGAAATTTACTTTAAATAGATTCGTTTTATTGAGGTTCGGTCAATTGTAAACAATAATAAACAAGAACCTTTTTGTCTACATTCCAATCTATTTAAAATCTATCAACCTACAACAAAAATTAAATTTATAACCAGTGGTTGAGGTAAAGTTATAAGTGCTCTTAAGGATGTCAAAATTTTTTATTTTTATTTTACCTCTATCACGGGTAAGCGGGAGTCTACTGTATCATGCACTTCTTTGTTTAGTCAGTTCTGATTTTATTACATAGCAGCTTATGATGATCTGAAACATTCATCTTACCTTTTTAGAGAATATTTACTAATAAATAACAATGAAGGAATTTTGAAAAATATGACAGCCCTGCTCAAACCCCTTAACTCAATGCAATTGCATTGCCTTGGAAAGGGATTGATAAAATGGTCTGGTATCATGCTACAACTAAATGCGAAATCCTAAAGGAGCTTTTGTAAAGTTCTTGCGTTAATTAGCAGTTTGTGTAGACAAACTCCATTAATTAATGCTATTTGTGGTTACAGCAAATTTTCCTTTGAAAAAACAATCTTAGTTTTGTTTTATGAAATCTTGATTTTATAAATTAAAATCAAGGGAAAATTAGTTTTGGAAGATATATGGTTCAATGTCTTAGAAGGATGCCTTCATTTTTTAAATATTAAAAAAATTCTAATACTAAAAAAATTTTCTTTTTCCTAGATGGTATGGTTTCGAGAAAGCTGGCATGAGGAAGTACTTAGGCAGCTACGGCAAGGTCTTGCTAAGTGTTATGTTATCGCATTTGAAAATAGAGGTGCTGTTTCTGAAGCTACCATTACACCCCATACTCTTCATTTTGTCAAGAAGCTAGTATCAACTTTTGGAATAGGAATAGGTAATAGTTCTTACAATAATTTAGGGTTTTGTTCTTCTTTATATAGAAGAAGTTGTTATGAGTAAATTTAATATTTTAACTAATGTTTATTTTTTAACAGAAAACATAGGCAGTTCAGTTAATTCAACACTAAGTAGTTCAGCATCAGAAAGTATTGCTAGAAGAGCAGAAGTAACTATTCAAGATCCTGTTTTCCAAAAAATTAAAGTTCAATTTAGTGCTGACTTCGATTTTAGTGTACCAGGTGCTATGAAACTTCAAAATTTTATTAGTAGAATGAAAAAATGGATCAAAATTCTTGAGGCTGAAACAAAACTTATGTCAAAGTAAGTAGTGAAAGTTAATTGGTTGGTTAGTATTGTATAATATATAATAATAAAAATATTACAAAAGTATAATAAAAAGTTGATACAAATTTAGTATTAGTTTAGAGATGGTTGACCGTTGAGGGCGGGGTGGCCGAATGGGCTAAAGCATGTGCACAGCACCGCGAGTTGCCTGGCAACCGGATTACAGATTTGAGAAGATTTAAAGTCCGGTGCCGGAGGGGATTTTAAATTCCCCGCCCTCATCCCCTGGCCCGGGAAAATCCTGTATAGCCCAAAAAGGCGAGGTAGGGAAGAACAAAAAAAAAAAAAATGGTTGACCGTGATGATAAGAGAAGTTGGTCAGGGTGTGCAGTCAAATGTATACTATAAATCAAAGTAGTATTTTATTGTTTACGCTGATGTTTTGACCCGCTTTGTAGATCTTCATCAGGGCGTGGTATTGGGCACTGCAGGAAGCAATTGTAGACTGGTTGTTAGACCTCCTTATGAAGACCTACAAAGTGGGTCGAAATGTCGGCGTCAACAATAAAGTACTATTTTGATTTATAATATTCATTTAACTGAACCCCCCGACCATCTCCTTCTTGAAATATAGTATTATTACATTTTTTTTAAATGAATCATTCAGGCCATCACAGTCTGGGAGAACCCATGAATTGGAGATAAAAATAAAAATTAATAAATGCCCTTGTGAAAGCCTTCATCAAATCCACCCACTTTCCTCACTCCTTTCCTAATCGATCTACAATATCCATCCAAAACATCCCAGGCCTGCCTCTTTTGTAATATTTGTTTAACTCCAAAGAATTTGGGTGGTGTACAATGTTCCCCGAGTCAGCAGACATCCCCTCTTAATTTTAGTCATGATAATTAAATATCAACTTTTATTTTATATTCTTTTACTTTCTAGTCTGTAAAAATTATTATTTATTTTTAGGTCATTCCTGATTGAAGAAAAATGTCGATTTTTAAGCAACTTTAGTTTACAAACAGCTGAAATTGAACTTCCAGGAGAATTTTTACTTCCAAAGGTAGTGGGAATAGTAATTTAGTATTATTTGTCATGATGATATGTTATTACGGTAAAATTTATTTTGTGTTTTATTTATTATTGTTTTTTACTAACTGTATATTCTTGTTTTTATCAATGTTAACAGCATTCCCACTACTATGTACGAATAGCACGATTCATGCCAAGAGTTGAGATTGTGCAGAAACATAACACAGCAGCTAGAAGGTTATTTATTAGAGGCCATAATGGTAAAATTTATCCCTATTTGGTTGTTAATGACTCCGGTCTTGGTGATGCAAGAAGGGAGGAACGAGTATTGCAACTGTTACGAATGTTAAATCATTATCTTGGAAAACAGAAGGTAATATTATCAAATAATTGATTGCTACTCTTAAGAGTAGTTTGTTGAATTGTTGTTGAAACAAATTCTTGTGAACTTATTTTGTTTTATCTGTAAAATATTAAAAGCCTAACAACCTCTAAATCTAAATTACCGAAATACATTAGAAAATTTTCCAACAAATCTTTCCAAGAAGCTGGTTTTATTTTTTTAAATATATGCCAACTATTGAAATTATTAGAACATTTCAGATTTTAGTTTAAAAAAAAAAAAAAGTTTTTATATTCACATTAATTTATCAAAAAATTAATGTATTCATATGTACGTATTTGAAGTGTTGTACATTTAACCTCTTCCATTAAATTCTTAATTTAATTAAATTATTAAGTTATTTTCAAACGTTGATGTATATGTAAGTTATGGGATTTTTTTCTTTAATCAACTTTCAGTATTTCTATTCTTACTTATTTTTCATTTGCTGTTAGATATTTTTTAAAATATAATTACATACATATGTACATAATTAGCCTTCTGTTTTATGCATAAATCCAGTCCCTATTAATAACACATGAGTAAGAGTTGACATTACTTACAAAAGTATCATGATTGTATCATTGCTTATCTATTTAAAAACAATTATTTTTGTGCCAGGATTATGAAATGATATAACGTTTAAACAATGAATTATTTTAGGAAACTTCGAGAAGATTTTTGCATATGACGGTCCCTCGAGTAGTTGCTGTATCACCACAAATGCGGCTAGTCGAAGATAACCCAGCCTCAATATCCCTTCTCGATGTGTATAAATCATCCTGTCACATGCTTAATATTGAACATGATGCTCCTATTACAAAATATTATGATCGCTTAGCTTCTGTCCAGGTAAGAATTAAATAATTAAAAATTAGTAATAATAGTAATTAAAAACTAGTAATAATTTCTTATTTCCTATGGTCATATAAATCCAGTCCCTATTAATAACCAGTCACTATTAATAATATTTGAGTCATTTAAGATAGTGGATTTATATATATTTTATTATTATTATCTATAGTCAAAATATTTTATTATTATCTGTTGAAGGAGTTGATAAAGTTGAATTATTAAATAATTGTAACTTGGATATCAATTATCTAATTTATTTAATTTTTTTTTAAAATATAATTTATTTTCTAATGGATGTAAGGCATAATTGACTCACATATGCATATACACACCAATATTCATATATTTAAAGATTAATTAGTTAAATTAAGATTAAAATAAATATTAGTTTAGAAGTATTTATTACTGTTATAACACAGTAAATTTTAAAATATATTTTAGTCTCGAGGAATGCAAGCAAGCCACCAGATTCTTAAAGATATTTTGAAGGATGTTCAAACTGCAATGATTCCCCGTACTTTACTAAAGGATTGGGCTCTGCGAACATACCCTTCCCCTACAGACTTCTGGACTTTTAGAAAAATGGTAATATATATTTTAGTTTATCTCTGTTTAAATGTTTAACCTTAATACAGAAAAATAGATTTTTATTGCATACCGTAGGTATAATAAATAGAATTTTTGTAATTTTAATGGTATTAATGATTTGTTATCTGTAAGCTTTAAGATTTAGCTCCGTTTAAAATGCACTTCAAAAATTTTATAATACCCCAACATTGTCAGAAAATAATTTCTATTCAAAGTATAGGGATAAGTGAAGGTGTGTGTGTTGCCCGCACCAAATTTTTTTTGTTGTGATTTTTTATTAAGTACTGTACTTAAACAACTTCATAGGCCTGGAGCAAGGCCCAAAAATCGACCTCATTGCAGGCGATGGTTTGATTGTAAATTATGTAAAATTACCTAAAAATAGTTTTTAATAGTTGTTTTGATGTTGACATTGAGATTGATAAGTATTAAAATTCTAGTACAGATATTTTTTTTAACTGGCATTTGAAATTCTGATTTGGGTGTGCTATTTAGCTCCTCCAATAGAATGTTTCCAATAGAAACAAAAGAAAAGTTAATAGGTACGAGAACTATGGTTACCTACGTAGAACATGACAAATTGGTTGGTACCTTTACAATCAGTGTATTAAATTCAATATGCTATTTTAGTTAATAGGAAATTTAATTACCTATTATAAAATGGGCATTGTTTGACTCAGAAGCTCTGAAACATAAATATTTGTTGAAAACCACACATCAAAAATTCAACATGGTTAAAATATTATTTTACTTAGTAGCAGAAAAAAAGTAAGAAAACATGTGTATTGCATTTATTAAAACTAAAAGGGCTTTAAATAGGAAACTAAATGAAAGTTTCATCAATACTTTCAAAAGACTGTTTCAGCCATTTTGGTGATACAGTCTACGGAAAAACAGGTTTTACATCTATTGTGGAATCCCTATTTGGGTATAGGGTGCCAGATTAGTTTCACAGGCATCTGAATCCAAAACCTAACCAAACAGAAAAAAAATCGGTCCTCCCCAGACAGACCAATGGCTAAAATGTGTTTTTTGGATTTGGTTGCTCTGAAAAGTATAAATCTGTTGAATAACCCACATCGAAAATTTGACCCAATGCTTTCCTTACCTTGTAGCGGTATGGAAGAAACAATTAATTAAATGTTGTTATTATAATTTTACCATTTTTCAAATTAATTTATTAATGGTTTGGTCTATTATTAATTCTTTGAGTAAAATCCACAATTTTGTCAAATTTGATTAAGACATTCTGTTTTAGTGTATGTACTTAGATGATAGAGTATGAACATTTTCTGATACCCAGCTGACTTATAAACATGTGATGCAAACATTTTGTTGACTTTTATGGTATATCTGGGTTTAAACCATGCCTTAACCGTATAGCTTATTATGAAATTAGTCAGTTTTGTAAAAAACAAAAACAGTATTGTCCATTAAGGAACTATTGCCTTTTTTTACTCGCTGCTTTCCCCTTCAAACATACAAAGGCGAATCCTGAAAAACTGATTGTCAGTTGCTGGTTGATGGTTATTATTTCAAGATTTTGAAAGAAAATAAGTACAAAAAAAATAAAATAAAATAAAATTGTCGCCCTTTTGTGATTTGCTCCCAATCAAAATTTTTTTGAGTTGGCTTAGTGTCTTTCACTGTAGTAAATATTTATAATCCTGTTTGGATTGTCTCTATAAATGATATTGTAGTGTATATAAAAGAATGAATCAATAAAATAAGTTATATGAAATTTAAATGTTGGAAATTCTTCAAATTTTGATTTAAAAAATATTAGATTAAAATTTTGATTAAAAATTAAACTAGTTGGTATTAAAAGTTCAAATATAACGTGGAATTTAAAGGAAACAAATATATACACATACATATACATAAGTTTTAAGATAATTTAAAAAAGAAACATTGGTGTGTATTCTTTTAAATACAAAAATGTAAAAAGAAATATTTTTAGGGAAATAACACCAGTGGATTCCTGCTTGGGAAGGTTTGGCATAGCAATTATACTCAATTGGCTTGTTTCAACAAGAAATTATGTCATTTTATTAGGTCATTGTTTTTGAGCTGTTCCAATTTCATTTCAAAATTGGTTGGGTCGTTTGATAATTTGATGATCTTTTGAGTGTTTTTAAATCATATGATGAAATTTGATTTCTTATTTAGAAAAAGTCCAGGATCTAATGAATAAATTGAATGATTATATTGTTTTTAATTTAGAATGATCTATTATTGTACATTAGAAAAACTTAAATGTTTTAACAAGAAATATATACTTTTTTTTAAAGCTTAAATATTATAATTTTTATTTGAACTAACAACTCATTAATAATATTTTATTTTATTTTTTAATTTCCATGTTTTATATGTAAATAAAAATAAATTTTCGCTTTGTAGGAATTTACAAAAAAAAAAAAAAAAAAATTTAGAAAATAATGGAAACAATTGATAAAATATATATATATACATACACTAAAACAGAATGTCTTAATCAAATTTGACAAAATTGTGGATTTTATTTATTTAATATTATTAAATCCTCACTGAAAATACTAGAAGAAATCATTTTAAAATAAAATACATTAAACCCATTTAAGTGGATCATTTTTTCCATATTTTTTTAATTTTTGCATTATTTATTTTGGGATTATCACTATTAGGAATTATCCAAAATAAGAATTGAACAAATCTTTTGATAAGACCTGTTTTCTTTCTTTTTTTACTAATTCATGGCTGTATTATATAATGCTTTTCTATTGTTCATCAGCATATATAATTTACAATTATATCAGTATATTTTGAATTTTGCTAAAGCATCTGTTAGATGTATTATTTATATCTTTTTTTTTGTTTGGCTATATTGTTATTAAAATAAAATTCTGTAAAATTGTTTTCAATTAATTATTTGTTATACAAAATTAATTTAAAGTAGATTTTTGCTTATTCATACTAAACAGGTATATGAGTTATACCTTGGTCAATACAGAGTAAAATTAAAGTATTTCAATTTAATCTATTGTTTATATGTAAATTAATAAATGTTAAAGTTCTAACAAAGAATTATTAAAACCAATTCATATCATTATTCAACTAATTGTAATTATTTTTTAATAATCATCGTGAAAAATAATGACTTAGAAATTTTCATATCATTTACCAATAATTAATGATTCCTGTTTTATTAAATTACTTTTGAATAAAGTGTAAATTTTATTGAGGAGCCAAGGTAAAATATTATTTTTCAATAAGAAAGTGTTGATCATAACATGTTTATTTTTGAAAATAAAAATATTTTATGGCTTTATCATAGTACACATGTATTATCTGTTATGGGTTTACATAAATTGAAAATTGTTGAGGCCAAGGTTATCAATAAATGTTTTTAGTTGAGAAATATTTTTCTTTAAAAATTAAAATTGAAATTTTTCTTAAGAAATATTAAATCAGTTGTAAAAATAATCTTATATTTATGTATCGATTAGCTTTAATTGATTAATTAAAAATGGTTTCTTTTAATTTCTGTATATTTAAACAATAGCTAAAGCTTTTATTACAAATAAAAGAATGATCAACCATATTTTAATAAGAATGTTTTGTTTTTTTAATTTTTAGTTTACTCTTCAACTATCTTTAGCCTGTTTTTGCGAATATATACTGCATTTGACCAGACTAAATCCTGACATGTTATACATACATCAAGATTCTGGATTGTTGAATATATCTTATTTTAAATTTGATGTTGAAGATACAAAAGGTAAGAAATAAATGAGTAAAATATTTGTTAATATAATATTATTAATGGTTTTGAAAATATATATTATTTATTTACCTTCACCTTTCCGTTTTTCAGGAGAACTTGATGCCAACAGGCCAGTCCCATTCAGGTTGACACCTAATATCCAAGAACTTGTTTCTGAAATAGGTGTTAGCGGACCTCTAACTGCTAGCATGATCGCATCAGCAAGGTGTTTCGTTTACCCCAATTTTAAAGTCACTAGTATTTTACGTGCGATCTTAAGAGATGAAATGATATTTGCTCATAAAAAGGTAATTTTTTATTATTTCCTGTTCATCAAACAATACTTATCAAATTTTAATTTTAAAAACTTTTACCATTACAACCCATGAAGGGTCTTAATTCAGTTCATACATTTTAATTCAAAACTGTAAATAGGAGATTATATAATGAATATAAATGGTCACTGTTACTTCATTTATTCTATATAATTTAATATATTTTATCATCTCATTTATAACTGTGCACTTAACTGTCATGATATTAACTATCAATGATCAAATATAGCCCACAGAGAAAATGTATTACTATTTATGCTATTTTTCAGCCCTTTTCAACAGAATAAGGTAATATTTAGACATATCTGTTAATGATTAATGATGATAGCTATGATATAAATGAAATGAAAACATAATTTAATTTTGGGACTAAAGTCCCCTAAGAATAATTATAGAGTTCAAAAATTATGTCCATTTGTCTGGCTTAGAAAAAATACGAATAGGTATTTGTCAATTGTAATCATACAGTTATTGAATTAATCAGTATATAGAAACAAGTTAATTTTACATGGTTTACATGTATCCAAAAAATAAAATGTATACTGAATTAATTCATGCTTATTAATTTAGTTTTAATTAACATTGTAGAGCTATTGTGAATTGACTTTATAGCAACTCCAATTATCTTCTAGATTAAATTTCAATATTTTGTATGTAATTACTGTTTAAGTAATAATATATCTTTTTTAAATATTTATATTTTAAAATTAAGTTTATCCTTTCAATAATATGTAATTTCTTAGGTGGTATTTCTGTTATTTCATATAGGTGGACTAGGTCAATTTCTATCTGGACAAAAAAAACTTATTCAATGGAGAGAGGGAGGGGGGGGGGACTGTAAGGCCCTGAACTCAAGGGCCCTTTTTCATTGATAATATTTTAAGTATTATAGGTTTTCTTGTGATAACATCTACTGTAGAAGAAAAACTTTATTTTAGTGTTAAGGACGTTTAAAAACTGTTGGGTCAAATAAAGTTAGTTGAAGTAATAAAAAATATATATATATTTTTATAGAACTGCGGATCAAACATGGTTCTCATTTTCTCTATTAAATTATAAAATTTCTTTAGAACCACTTCTAATCTTCACCTATTGGTGATAGAATATTTTTTAAAATGTCTAGAAATGAATATTTCTACAAGGTTTCCTGCTGTTTATTTTAATTTTGTTTAGTTAGGTTTATTTAAGTATAATCCTGATGTTAATATTATTGTGAGATGAAGAAAGCTATTTTTTTTTTATAAATTATAATTGTCTAAATTAAATTAACTTCATTTAATACAAAATTAGTGTTTGAAATATGATTTAAATTCACAAATTCAGTTTTACTATTTTTGAAACAATTAATGATTCTGAAAATAAAACTTTTTGTAACTCTACATTATTTTATTAGGTTATAATTTGTTTTTCATTTAAGAAGATTGGTTTTTGGTCATTCTAAACTAGTAAAATAATTTATCTGAGATGAAATAATTATCTAATTTACAATGGAATGATTAAAACTGCTGCATCACTGTGAATTAACTATGCAGGGGTGATAATATTTGACCTTCCAAGAGTTGAATTGTCATTTCAAAACTTTCATTTTAACTTAGTGGAAGAAGTTATAACACCAAAATTAAGTTCACTTTATATTATATTAAATTTGATATATTTTTTTATTTTGTCTCCAAGTACACAACCAAATATTAAAAGCAATTTGTTCTTCAATGTATGAAATTTATATTGTTTTTTTTTTTTCAAATTTGTGCCAACATTTGACTGTGATTTCACAGTCCAAACTATCTTTTCAAATGTAAAGATGTTCTTGTTTTAACAATATCTCTTATTTCTAATTTTAGAAACAAGAAGAACAACATGAGAGTATCGGTTCACCTCCAGCTGACGTTGCTGGAGAACTGATCATCACACTTGTAAATCATGCTGTTAATTCTATAACACAAAGACTCAATAGCCTAGCAAATTTTGAGGGCACTGAAAGCAAGGTAAAGAAAAACGCTCTAATAATTTTATATTTAAAAGATTGTTTCTAGTTGTTAAACCGCTCATTTATATATATACTTTTTTTCCAGGTCAGTACCCTAGTTGTAGCTGCTAAAAGTCCTGATAACCTTTGTCGAATGGACCCAGCCTGGCATCCTTGGTTGTAATTGGTTTTATAAAATATGTTTAATTATTTTTGACAGTCACTATAACTTAATGTATATATTGAATTTTTGTAAATCTTTGTTTATCAATATATGGTCGAATGTATATGTTCTGTGAATATTATAATTTATCTATCCTGTAAGTTAAGGAAATTATCTGTAACTGTATATTGATGTAAATTTAAAATATTTTATCTATTATTGTATTTTAACTATGAGACTGTTTAATTGTTAGTTCAGTTCAAATGCTTTGTCTATTTAAATTGACTGTATTATGTATTATAAAATTCTCCTTTTTTTATGCAAATATAGCCTATTTTACAATGATCATTTTATCTCATTTCTTTATTAAAAGGGAACGTTAAAAAAAACAACAATGTGATATTTTAAATTAAATTTATTTATTAAATATAAAAACCTAATAAATACACAACGTGGAATTAATAAAAGAAGATAACTTTTTCAGTCATACAACTCAGTTGCAATACTGCTTTTCTCATTTCAGTGAGTATACCCACCCCAACTTTTTTTTTTTTTTATAAGTACAACATATATCAACAATCCCAAGTACCTATATACGGCCATTTTACTTTACAGTCTTAAACTATAAATTATAATTTTGATGGAAGTCATGCTCCTAACTTAGCTTTTAGATTTTCAGCTAACTTATTTAGAAATTCAAATGTTTCCAAATAATCAGATCTATTTACATTAGTCATTCCTTTAATGCAAATAGCTAAATCTTTTGTCATAAATCCAGATTCTATAGTTTCAATGCATACAGCTTCTAAGGTTTCAGCAAAATTTTGTAGTTCCTTATTATTATCAAGTTTTGCTCTATGTAACAGCCCTCTTGTCCAAGCAAATATTGAAGCAATGGGATTTGTTGATGTTTCTTGACCTTTTTGATAAAATCGATAATGCCGTGTAACTGTTCCATGAGCTGCTTCAGCTTCTACAGTTTTTCCATCTGGACAAATCAATACTGAAGTCATAAGACCCAGAGAGCCATACCCTTGAGCAACAGAATCTGACTGGACGTCACCATCATAATTCTTACAAGCCCAGACAAATCCCCCTTCGGATTTCATCGAATATGCAACCATGTCATCTATAAGCCTATGTTCATACCATATATTATTGGCTTCAAACAAAGCTCTATATTCTTTCTCATAAATTTCCTGAAAAATATCTTTAAACCGCCCATCATACTTTTTCAGTATTGTGTTTTTTGTACTTAAGTATAGGGGATATCCTCTATCTAGTGCAAATTTAAAAGAAGAATGGGCAAAGTCACGAATAGACTCATCAGTATTATACATTCCTAAGGCTACACCTGGACCTTTAAATTCATGCACCACTTTTTCAATGCGCTCTTCCCCCGAACCTTCTGGAATGAAAGATAAAACCAACTTTCCTTTAGCGGGAACTAAAAAGTCTGTTGCTTTATATTGGTCAGCATGAGCATGTCTTCCAATTATAATAGGCTTTAACCAGCCTGGGACTAACCGTGGAATATTTTTACAAATAATGGCCTCTCTGAAAACAGTTCCACCCAAAATATTTCTGATTGTACCATTTGGAGATTTCCACATTTGTTTCAAGTTGAATTCTTCAACTCTTTTCTCATCAGGTGTTATGGTGGCACACTTTATTCCTACATTGTACTTTTTGATGGCTTCTGCACAGTCTATTGTAACTTGATCATTGGTTTTGTCTCTGTTTTCAATTCCCAGATCATAAACATGAAGCTCAATGTCTAAAAACGGTAAAATGAGCTTCTCTTTAATAACATCCCAAATAATCCTTGTCATTTCATCACCAAGTACATCCACAACTGGTCCTGCCTTAATTTTTTTCATTGTAAAAATATTTCTTGATCCTAAAATAAGTATTCATTAATTAATAATATTTTAAAAATAAATTATATAATTTTTACACAATTAACATACAGCTTCTGAGTTACATAACTTTATCGGAGAAATTTAAAAGGAAGGTTGCTCACCTACAACTATAACTACTATCCTCTTCCACCTATTCCTCAAGACTGACCGTGATATGGGAACATCGAACCTAGTAGCCGACCATCTTAATAATAATGGCAGAGAAAACATAAACATAAATTAACTACTTAAAAATTAATTCTGTAAGTAGTTTTAAAACTACAGCCCTTTTCACTCCTGTTTATAGATTAAAAAATATTTAACATTTTTTTGCCTAATTGAACAACAATTGTACAACAATATATTGCTAAGCTATATATACAGGTTAGCAAAGTTATTTATTGTTAATACAAAAAAAAAAATGTTTTGTTTGATTCAGAAATAAGAACTTTTCACTGGTTTTGTATGCAATCAGGAATAGTGCATTTGAAAATATTTTGATTATCCTATCAATTTTCGGCTTTGTAATGTTTGCGATAAGTACGGCCATGGGAAAGGCATTCAGTGGTAAACCACTCAACTACAAGAAAAATATACAATCAAAAACAATGACTGTAGGAACGCGTTTTAACTTTTCGTGATATTATTGTACAAAATTTTAGGTAAACTCAATATTTCATTGCGGTAACGTCGCTCGTTTTATTTTTCGAGAAAATGAACAGTCTTAGATTCGTGGTTTCTTTTGATGATTTGTGCTTATTTAAGTGTTTCAAGTGCTCATTTTATGAATATATTTAAAGCAAATTTCACCAAAAGTTAAAAGGTACTAAATATTTCATGTTTTATTTGTTGTTTAACCTTCCTTATATTTGATATTTTGATAACCTTTAACAAAAGCATCTTACTCAACTTAAGTTAATTGGTTTTTTCTCGTGTTTTGATGTTCATTGTGAATTGTAATCTTTTATCATTATACTGATAATTAAAAATTTAACATTATAATCTGAAAAAATAAAGATTTTGTAAATCATTATATTTATTTGAACTTTATAATTCATATATTACTATTCTGTTTTTATTTGATATTCATTCTTTTATAAGAATTCTTAATTTCATATATATTATTGTGAGATGATACTGTTTACTATTCAAAGTACACAATATTCTGAGTGATTAGTAAACACTAGGTAATATATAAATAAGTTCTTGTAATGTGGAATAATTAATAGTTTTTAGAACATCATGATTATTATTATTAGTGGTAGTACTTAGCTTTTCAACTGAATAAGAAATATATTATACGCTATAACTAATTAATTACTTCATGGAAGATAGTAATTAAATGGGAAATTTGAATGAGAGGTTATTTGGTTACTTTTTAAATATAAATTAATTTAAATTTTATTTTGTTCGTGTTATTTCAATTCTTAATTAATCAAATTAGTTAAAATGAAGTAACAAATATGTATATTTTTCACCTTTATTATGACATTCTCATGTTCTATATAAAATTTATTTTTTTGATCATATATTAAGGTTAAGATGCAACCACCTAAAGCTTAAGGATAGAGCACTGTATTTATTTATACAATATTTAGCTCATTAATGCCCATTTTTAAACCTTGAATAACACAATTTTTTTAAGAGATGCCACTTAATTTCAAAGAGTAGCCAACATCATTCATAAGTAATTATCATCACAATCACAATATCTTACCTGATTTCAAAACCTCATTTTTATTATGATTTTTGTGGAAACTTATGTTATATTTTCTTATCCTTAAGTCATTTTTTTTTTTTTTAACATTCATATGTTTATTAGTTTATATATAAAAATTGTTATTCTGCCCTTAAAATATTTTCTAAATTCAATTTAAAAATTAACTGACGTAAGTAATTGTTTACTCAATCAAACAGATTTACCTTCAAAATACGGAGATATAAACAGAATTTGCCATAAAAATCTTTTTTAAAAGGAAGATTTAGATACAGATATGCAAGATTGATAAAATAAATTTTAACACATTGACTGTCCATCTATGAGATAAATCAGTGTTCTTGCCTGTAAACTAAGAGTTATCTATTAGTATTTAGTGATGTATTATAAAATAAAATTCTTTATTATTTTTTTATTTTTTATGAAATCCTGAAAAACACAGTGGACAGGCATTAAAGATGTTAATGATTTTTATAAAATAAATTAGTGTTTTTTTTTCATAAATTATTTTGTAGATTTATATTGTTTTCAGTTAAAGGAGTGAACTTGAAATAATACATAATTGAGTGCTGGGATTAAAATGATTCACTTTTATGTCTCTGTATATTGTATTAATATAGTTTATTAAAAAAAAAAAAAATTATCAGCTTATGCATTTACAAATTTAGAGTCTTAATTGATTACATATTGATAAAATATTAATTTTAAAAAAATGAATAAAACATAACCTTTTAATTTTCAAAGAGATTAGAAATATGGCAATTGCTCATCAGCATCAGCACAGTATTAAGTGTTTTAAATTTTGTTAATTTAAAAGAGACTATCATTTTTTTTGTTTTTATTGACTGTGAAATCATCTAAAACCTTTATGCATCTTAAAAATGATCAAAAAAGGATTTTTTTTTTTTTTTTTTTTTTTACGTTTTATTCATAAAATTCACATTGGAAGTAATTTGAATATGACAAAAATAAACGAATTTCTTATAATTGTTCGAAGGATTGTCCTCAATGCTATTGTGTTTTAAGGATGGGTGCTTTGATAGTAAATGCCAATTGGTGGAAAAACAATGATTTGAATCAATTAAATTAAAAGTTTTTATTGAGTGTTTTGTGGTAACATTTGAGGAATACTGATTAAGTAATGTTGAATCCAGGACTTCAGCTTTAAATATTATCAGAAAGAGAAAGGTCTGGAGAAATGGCAAGGTCTCTGTCATGTTTTAAGAGACAGTAAATTTAGAGTGATAGAGACCTCTGTAGTTCCAAATCGAGCATTCCTTCAGTTAAAAGAGAAGAGAAGAGAAGAAATAATACTGACAAGGCTCCAAATCGGCCACTTACGGCTATCTCATGAGCACCTAATGACAAATGGCAAAGCCCCCTCAATGTCTCTGCTGTGGGGTCAGTTTAACAGTCAGGCATATTTTGACTAAATGTTATGCATATGAAACACAACGGAATGAAGTTGAATTGGAGAATGATATAACTGAAATTTTGAAAACACCAAATTGGCAAAAAAACATTTCTTCAAATAACGCACGTATACAACAAAATATAAATTTTGCTGATTCTTTTTTTGGAGATTTTAATGTTTTAAATATTTTGTGCTTTCAATTTATTGTTAAATTTCATCTGATGTAATATAAATATTTTGTAACTGCTAAAATGACCCGTAAGAGGTTGAGGAGAGCCCCCCATTGTTATAAATAAATATTATCAGTAGATTACTTTAGCTCATCTATACTTAATATTTAGTTAAGGCTTCTGGTAAAATGAACTGGTTTCATCATTGAAATCTTATTACTATTTTTTTTTTATGTGTTGACCATTTATAATAGTTGTGCCTAAGTTAAGGAGATGACGAGATTTTAACATTGTTTAAGCAGGACACCATTGTCTGGGGGCGGGGAGGAGATTAGTTGGTAAAGCGGGACACATTGACCGGCTGTGAGGGGGAAGTTTTTGGTTAAAATTTGGTTCATTCTCCACTCAAAAATCAAAGTCTAGTTATAGCCCTCTTCTTTTACTCAGGTGTCCCAGTCATCTTATTCTACCCACCTTTATGATGATATTCACATAAGTTCCTCAGTTCATTTGTCTACATCCGCCAAAGATCCTTTTCTTTACTAAGGCCATAGATTTTTTTTAAGGCTATTTCTTTCCCATCTGAAAGTCCTCCATCATGAAATGTCAAAGTATAGGACTGACTTCTGTATATAACGAATGGCTGCAGGATTCTGCAGGATGGTTAACTCTTATTTTGAGGATTTAGATATTTACTGATTTTGATATATTTATATTAAAGAAAACTGGCATCCATTGCTATCCTTCCCTTAATTTCTTCTCTATTATTATCCTTTGTGGTACTAGTATATATATATATATATATATATATATATATATATATATATATATATATATAATGTGATTCTTTCTCTAAGCTGTATCCAGCTCTCTTTCTTCTTTGCTTTTTATCATATTGAGGCCTTGATTTGAAAAGGTTCTAACTAACAAATTTAGGCAAATTGAGTTTTCACTCAAAAATCACTTACAACAAAGTTATCTAGGTTCCATATGAATTTTAGTGCCATAAATAAATTGTATTATAAATTAAAGAGGAAAGGAACTGGGATGGAAAGTTCATTTGAAAAAGGAAAATGGCATTTAATTTTTTTTTTAAAGTATTGATTTTTTTCAATATAAAATATACTATAAGGAGGTATGAAGAAGATAGAAAACAATAAACAGTTGGTTAAAGGTTGTCCGAAAAAGTTTAACTGTGTGAGCAGGAATACAATGAGGAATGAAAGCCTGAAAAACCCAGGAATAAGTTCGAGAGACTTCACTAGTATGGTTTATGTAACAACTACAATCAAAGTTAATAACCTAAGGACAATCAGATATTGCTTACAATTTGAGAATCTTCATGGTATGTTATCTAGATACCATTCATTGGTGAAGAAAAGGGCATTAAGTACCTTGCTTTTGCTAGAGAATATTTAAATAAAAGCTGCTCTATCTTTGTGTAAATGTCAATCAAATTTTTTGGGTCTGATGGTTGGAAGCTTCAAAGCATAATGACAGATGGCAGTGTTAATGAAGAATGTGAATAATGAGGTCTGACTGAATAATGACTAATCTGCTGAAAGATTTTTGACCAGGTCCAGACTGACAAAAATTACAGCTGCTGAAAGATAGCCCAGCATTTGTATTGTTGTTTTCTTTTTTTTTTAAATAATTTGATTGTTTCTTTTCAAAAATTTATTAACTTTTCTTTTACTTCAGAGCGTGCCACAGATTTCACTTAAAATGATTCATTCATAGTCCGTAGCAATCGAATCATTTGAAAGAATTGTAGTGCCTTCTATGGTCATCAAATCCCATTAAAAAAAAAAAAAAAAATGAATAATTTTATACTGTTATGAAATATCATGTTCATTTAAATAGTTGGGTTTTTGTCACCATAACTATACCAGAACGATTAACAACATTCAGCTTTGAGAGTTGGAAATTTGTTTGGTGGTGATGTAAGAAAGAACTCAAAATCTTTTGGCAGGATTTTAAATGCATGAATCATGTAAACATTTTGTGCCATTATCCGACGTTCTTTTAATTAAATTTAGTTTCTACTAAATTAAAAGTTTTGTCAGATAGGTGACAAAGATATAAACACACAGACATCATATATGTTGCCCTGGAATAGCTGGCTAGGGATTTTTTAATACATGTTTGTAATAATTATTATGTTATTTATTGTGCACAGCATTATCTTCTCTCTAGAACAACATTGATTATTTCATTTGAAGCAATTTTCTACTTGTATGAAGCTCAATAATTTTTAAGAAGATATTTTATCTAGGATTGTATATGATAAAATAGTTTTTCACTGTAGCAATCACTTTTCCGGCTCTCAGGAGCAATGGATTCTGATGAATAAGGTGTTAAACGAAAGAATATTAAATTTAGCAGTGACGAATCATAGTAACATCCAGTCAAAATTTCAGGAAAAAAAGTTTAAAAAAATGTATAACTGTGTAAAAAGAAATTTAATAATAGGTCTGGTTTTGCAACATCTTTAAGTGGTATAACATTCACTAAGCTTTCCT